GATGGAGGGGGCAAAGTATATGAAAAGAAAATTCACATATAAGAAAATATAAATGGCTCGTAAAAACATGAAAAGATGCTCAATCTCATCTGTAAGAAAATATAATTATAATGAGATTATTGTCACTTATTTTGGTTGAAAGCCAAAAAAGTTGAAAGCCATTAAAAAGAAGGAGTACTGATTTGGGACCATACAAAATATTTTGTTAAGCAAGCTGCAGAACAGTGTGACCACTGGTGTCCTAAAAAAGAGAGAAAAGGAGGCTGGGCGCAGTGGCTCATGCCTGTAATCCCAGTACTTTGGGAGGCAAAGGTGGGCAGATCACGAACGAGGTCAGGAGTTCTAGACCAGCCTGGCCAACATGGTGAAACTTCATCTCTACTAAAAATACAAAAATTAGTCAGGAACGATGGGACCTGTAGTCCCAGCTACTCAGGAGGCTGAGGCAGGAAAATCACTTGAACCCGGGAGGCAGAGGCTGCAGTGAGCCGAGATTACACCACTGCACTCCAGCCTGGGCAACAGAGCAAGACTCCGTCTCAAAAAAAAAGAAAAAGAAATATACAATATATTTATACTATATATATATATATATATATATATATATATATATATATATTACACACAATGTAGTATACAAACTTATAATAGAAACACAAAATATATTTATATGCACATAGCCATACATACATTCAACAATCTCTGGAAGGATAAAGAAGAGTGCTATTTGTTTCTGCCTTCAGACAGTGGACCTGGAGAAAGGGGAACTTGCTTTTCACTGAATATTCTTTATTTATTTTACTGTGGTCAAATACACATAACATAAAATTTATTCTTTTAACTTTTTTAAGGTGTATGATTCAGTGTCATTTAGTACATTCATAACATTATGCAGCTACCACCATCACCGTCTAGTTTCAGAACATTTCATCACCCCAAAAGGAGACCCAATGCTCATTAGCAAGCTCTTCCTATTCCTTCCTACCCCCAGCCCCTGGCAACTACGCGTGTGCTTTCTCTCTACAGATTCGCCCATTCTAGATACTTCATACAAACGGAATGATATAGTATGTGGCCTTTTATGTGTGACTTCTTTCAGTTAGCATAATGCTGTCAAGGTCCATCCACATTGTAGAATGTATCAGTATTGCTTTCCCTTCTATGGCTAAGTAATATTCCATTGTACAGAGAAACCACATTTTGTTTATCTGTTCATCAGTTGATGACATTTGGGTTCTGTCTGCCTTTTAGCTATCATGCAAAGTGCTGCTGTGAACATTTGTGTACAAGTTTTTGTCTAAACACCTGTTTTTCAGTTCTTTTGGGTATATCCCCAGCAGTGGAATTACTGGGTCATATGATAATTACTGAAAACCTTTTAGTGGTTTTTGAATATTGTGCCGCATGCATATATTACCTAACAAAAATTGATTATTTTAATAAAAATAACCAAGTAGAGACAAATTATATATATATATATATATATATATATATATATATATATATATATATAGTATATACAAATTATATATATATAATTTTTTTGAGACAGAGTTTCGCTCTTGTTGCCCAGGCTGGAGAATCACTACAACCCCTGCCTGGGTTCAAGGTTTTCTCCTGCCTCAGCCTCCTGAGTAGCTGGGATTACAGTTATGTGCCATGATGCCCTGTTAATTTTGTATTTCTAGTAGAGACAGGGTTTCTCCACATTGGTCAGGTTGGTCTTGAACTTCTGACCTTAGGTGATCCGCCCGCCTTGGCCTCCCAAAGTGCTGGGATTACAGGCGGGAGCCACCATGCCCGGCCAAATATATTGTTTTATAATCACAGTTTAGCATCCCTGCAAAAATCAGCATTGGATGAATCAGTAGTCTCACAGGCCCTAAAAGAAACTGAGGTATAGGAAGTAAACATACAATCCAGTTTTTAAATATGACTCATAGAACCAGTAGGTCTTTAGGCTACGAATACTCCCTGTCATTAAATGTTCCAGCAGCATTGCGCTGGTGTATGTGGGCAGGGCTGTGAGAATGTTCTCTAAATCCATGTTTTTTTAAAAGGTAAAGCAGTAATTGAAGTTGACTTCAAACCTGCGATTACGTTGACTTGGTCTGATAATTGCATGGATCTCACTGGAAGCCCTGGCTCCCACAGCACCACCTGTGACCCCTAGGGGGCGAGCCGGGAAGAGACCAGAGTCCCCAGGGGAGCTCTGAGCCAGCGGCTGGGGAGAATTCGTTCAGCAGAACTTTTACAAAGGCAAAAAGAGGATCACCGAAAAAGAGTCACAGAGGGGAAAAAAGGCAAGAAGGGGAAACACTGTGACAAAGACCCCAGCCCTGGGACACTTGGGAAATGTTATTTCTCAAGCACTTTATTATTATTTTTGAGACAATCTTGCTCTGTCTCCTAGGCTGGAGTACAGTGGTGCAATCTTGGCTCACTGCAACCTCTGCCTCCGGGGTTCAAGCTGTTCTCCTACCTCAGCCTCCCAAGTAGCTGGAATTACAGGTGCCCACCACCATGCCTGGCTAATTTTTTTGTTTTTTTAGATGGAGTTTCGCTCTTATTGCCCAGGCTAGAGTGCAGTGGCGCGATCTCGGCTCACTGCAACCTCTGCCTCTGGGTTCAAGTGATTTTCCTGCCTCAGCCTCTCGAGTAGCTGGGATTACAGGCATGCACCACCACACCCTGCTAATTTTTATGTTTTTAGTAGGTTTCTCAATGTTGGTCAGGCTGGTCTCGAACTCCTGACCTCAGGTGACCCACCCACCTCAGCTTCCCAAAGTGCTGGGATTACAGGCATGAGCCACTGGGCCCAGCCTTTAAATTTTTTATCTTTAATAGAGAGGGGGTTTCGTCATGTTGGACAGGCTAGACTCGAACTCCTGACCTCAAGTGATCCACGTGCCTCTGCCTCCCAAAATGCTAGGATTACAGGCGTGAGCCATTCAAGCACCTTCTTTTTATGAACAAGGAGACTGAGACCCAGAGTAGCTGCTGATGTTCACAAAGGCTGTGAGCATGAAGTCTGGAAACCTCTGCTATGCTGCAATGCACAGTGTGGGAAGAGAGGCTTTCCACCTCTGATGGGGCTGTGTTTGAGTCCCTCCCTCCCTTTCCGCCTCCCTTCCCACGACCACCATCTACATAAATGTGTAACTCAGGGTCACTAACTTAACCTTTCCCAGCCAGTTTCATTATCTGTATAGTGGATGTCATACCATCTTCACCAGGCTGAGGCAGGGGGATGATATGTATGCACAGGACCTCCCTTATGCGTGGGATATAGTAGATTCTCAATAAATATTTGTTACGTGAATGAATATTGTCTCTACCCCTCTCAAACGCAATCGTTCTGCTGCCCCAACACATTTTTATTGATGACATTTCAGGCAGTATCCTTATGAGGTCTCCATATCTAGAAGGCTGGGAAGGGAAGGGAAGGGAAGGAAAGGAGAGTTTGGGGTGTCTGTGCCATTCCTGTTGTGATGAAAAGCTTCTTTGTGAAGCCCAAGCAGCACCAGCCCCACTTGGAGGCTGCACATCTGTCACTCAGAGGTCCTCAGAACCCCCAGGTCCTGGCCTTTTCTGCCAGCAAAGTGGCATCCCTGGGTTTTGGATCCAGGGGTCTTCAGAGGCCAACAGAGCCACACACACCTCATCCGTTCCTACCTCCCCTCCCCGAGCATCTGACAGAGGCCAGTTCGTCTGTTTCAGGTAATACTCATCAAAGTGCTGTATGAGAACTGTTGGTTATGCCCAGCTACACAGTCCTCATGCATACTGTCAGACACGTCAGAGTCTGGTAAGCTTTATTTCATTGCAGTATAAAGTTCAGGTCATGTTTTCTCAGTCTTCATCATTTACACTTTATGTTGCACAAGACTTTTAAAAGATTAGGTTGTAAATTGTAATTCTCACAATTCCTTTTTTTGGGAGAAAGGAAGGTGTGGAAGGGACTAAAACATACCTTATTCATTATTAAAAATGTTGCTATAGTATACAAAATGGGAAAAATATAGAAAAGAAAGAAAAAGGCCAGGCATGGTAGCTCATGCCTGTAATCCCAGCACTTTGTGAGGCTGAGGTGGGTGGATCGCTTGAGGTCAGGAGTTCAAGACCAACCTGGCC